ACACTACGATCGAACATCAAAGTTGAACGGCGAGTAGTCAAACTTGCTGGTAACTGAGGATCACTGTCAACTCTGAATTGAAGATCTTACTTCGGTGGGCTGAAATGTCTTCTCTCTAGCTATCATCGTTACCAGCATAACTGTGGTGGGCTGTAATAACAAGGATAAGCATTTGACTATGCCTCTCCACTTACTAGTTGGTCCCAATTAATGTCCATTTATGGTTTTAACTGGTCCTTGTTTTGAAAATTGAACCAATTAACTAATTGTGTTGGTTGCAGCTTCTTCAATCAGGTTTGATTTATTCGTAGCCTGTACATATGAATGTTGAACTTGCAGAAACTAGCGCCTCGCTCAGCCCGGAGAACATGCATGGCATCTGACGTGCGATTTTCACAGACATGTAGACAAGCATATCCTTCATTTTGTTTTTTCCCCCAGACAATCAGATTGAGGCGTTCAGCTGCGCTGTTTCATTTCTGACAAACTTGTAAATTTTATTACCTTCATAAAGACTTTAGTGTCTTCTTTTTTTCTTCTTCTAGGGAGACTAGAGAAAGCCAGAAAGGGATTGGAACAGCTGATAGATTGAGGCATTCAGCGGTGCTGTTTCCTCTCTCCCTCTCCCCGGAAAAGTCATGCATGTTAGATTGATCCAATTGAGCCAAGGATGTGACTTGTATTCATTTTCCCTTAAAAAACAGTCTTATCTTATATATATGGTAGCTAAAATGGTCCATGTATGCTCTGATGTCTTGCTAGGATGTGAGTGTGCAGCTAGGCAGCTAGCTGCTTAAAGTCATCTAGAAGCGGGCAATGTCTGCGAGAGAAATCAAGCGAAAGGTGCATCATTCAGGTGGTATTTTGCAGCCATCAAGCGAAAGCAATAGCAAACCAAAACTGTCATAAACTCGAATAATTTAGGCTGTGTTTAGTTCGTGAATTTTGGAAATTTGGTTACTGTAGCATTTTCGTTTTTATTTGACAATTAGTGTTCAATCATAGACTAATTAGGCTTAAAACGTTCATCTCACAATTTCCAACCAAACTGTATAATTAGTTTTTTTTCATCTATATTTAATGCTCCACGTATCGTAAGATTTGATTTGATGGCTATTGTAATATTTTTTGGGAAACTTTTTGCCCTTAATAAGGTTGGCTTACTGATCAATAGCAGTAGGATCCTGCCACCGAATTTGCATAGTAGATATGATACGATGGTATGGTAGCCTCCAAAAAATAGATCTGTAGGGCTATAAAATATACAGTAAATATGATACTTACCTCCGTTTTCGTTTACTTGTCACCAAGTTTTTACTGTAGCAATTTTGACTATACGTTTTTTTCTGCAAAAAATTTTTAGATACATCAAGTTTTCACATATATGATTCTTTATTGAACATACTTCATTAGTGTTATATACATTGAAGTATCTAAGTTTTTTAGAAGAAAAAATGCTACAGTAAAAAGTCGCTGACGAGTAAACCCAAACGGAGGGAGTGTGATGGTATGGTACACTCGGGTGATTCTGGCTCTCCTGTCACTCGATCTGCTGGCCGTCGATCCTGCGCTTCAACAGAGGCCATGTACCAAGCGCTCGCGGGGTCCAAGGTGGCAGGGTGGTCTCACATACTCCTCCGCCCCTCGTCTCTCTCGAATCCTGCGTTCTTTGTTGCTGAGCTGGGAGGCATCTTCTGCCATGCGCGGCCTGATCTGACCTCCCTGCTTCTCACGCCTGGTGGAGTGCATGATGTTCTGCGGCAGGTGCAGTGCCTATAGGTGCAGTGCATGCTGGTTTGCTACAGGTGTAGGTCGTCACATCATTTTGTTCCTTGCATTCACCCCTGTATATAGGGCCTCGTTTAGTTGCGGGCGAAATCGGCGCCGCCCTGGGTACTGTAGCTACAGTAATCACTGTAGCATTCGTTTGTATTTGGCAATAATTGTCCAAACGATGACTAATTAGGCTCAAAACGTTCGTCTCGCAAAGTACAACCAAACTGTGCAATTAGTTTTTGATTTCGTCAACATTTAGTACTCCATGCATGTACCGCAAGTTTGATGTGACGGGGAATCTTCTTTTTACATAGTGCCAAATTCTGGAATTTAGAGAAACTAAACACCCCCTAGATCTATTCCGAGCAGATGGCATCTTATTAGATCATACTCCCTCCGTCCTATATTATTTACACATCTAGAGTTGAGCGTGAAAACCAAGGCAGCTGCTAAAATAACACTTTTGCCCCTGTACGAAGTGACTGTGCGGAGGCAGAAGGTATTCCCCGGATTGACTGGAAGCATCGTCTACTTTTTTAAATACAGCTGATGGTGGAACGAGTGGTTGAGAAGGCTCCAGAGTTTGAACGGAGGTGGTGGAGTCGATTTTTTTTCAGCTTCCGTGAGCTTTTTTATTTTTTTTATGACACAAGTGAACTTTTTTTTTCTCACCTGCGGCTGCTCAGTCTGATATGTGGATGTGATAGCCTGTACTGTGACTCTTTATTTTGGGAAAATTTTTGAATGGTAGACGTGCAGTTATTGCTGGACGAAGGGAGTATTTTACTATTTTTGTTTAAATGTAAGTTATGTGTTTGATTAGTCGTAAATGATAATGGTTAGAATTACTCGAACAATTATCTGATATTTTTTTTTTTATTTTTTGTATGTTTTATTTGGTTTCTCTTTGAAGATTTTCAATTTAGCTTCCATAGAAATAATGTGGCTATTTTTTTTGTTTATTTAATATTTTTGTTTTATTTGAATAATTTTTTTGATTCAATTGATCTGGATCCATGACAATCGAGTGTTGAAGTAGATCAAAACACTCGATCCTGGCTTCTATGATCAATCGGGTATTTTAGGGGCTATCCACACTCGGGTGACACGTGCCCCCAGGACACCCGAGCAATGAGTAGACACGCCCCGAAGAATTCGAATACAAAATTTATTTACATTTCTGAAACGTATCCTCGCATGGACGTCCTAAAATAATGTAGGAACGTGGGATAATTTTGCACCGACTTTCCACGCACCCAATCCAGATTTTGAGTATTAAAAATATTTTAAATAACCATTTACACATATTGTTTGTTCACAAATTTCAGAAAGGATGATTTACAGCTTCAATTCTATTTAAGATACAGTAGTTCTGACTTCTGAGTACTCCCTCTATTCCTGGATAAATAGATTCTTGAAGTTGTCTTAAGTCAAAACTTTTTAAACTTTAACCGAATTTCTTAAAAAACCCGTTAAGACTTACGGTATCAAATTAGTATCATTGGATTTATCATAGAATATATTTTCATTTGGTGCTAATTTTATGACATAGATGTTGTTATTTTTTCTGTAAAGTTAGTCAAACTTAATTTTTTTAACTAGCATGGATTATAGGAATTGATTTATTTAGGGACAGAGGGAGTAAATCTCAAAAATCATTTCGGTTAAATAATAATTAGCCTATGGGATAACATATTTCTACCTAATACTCCCTCCGTCCTTCATTCAGAGGCGTAGTAGCATTTTTCACCGAGACCAAGGAGAACTTAATTGCCGTAACCTCCAGCCGCAAACGCCGCAAAATCCCTTCGTATCCCACACGCTGACCGTAACTCCCTGCATGGCTGCATGCAAAAGCATTCAACGCTCGCGCAACGCCGGAATGCCCGCGACCGCGCTCGTCCGCTCCCGCGTTTTTAGTTTTAGTTTTGCAGTTGAAAATTGCCGCGTTTTGAGTTTCAGTTTTGCTGTTAAAAATTACCGCCATGCATAAGAAATCAAATCTCCCGCTTAAGGTTTCAGGGTGTTTAAAATTTTCACAGTTGCCGCGCCTATGAAGCCTCCACAGTTCTATATATACCCTCTCCTGCAACATGTTCTAATCAGCTCTCTCGTCAATTCTCCTCTCCCTACCTCTCCAATCCATGGCGCCATTAGGCTTTGATCTCAACCAAGAGGCGCCCCCAGATTGGGACAATCCAATTGACTGGGAAGCCATCGGCGAGTGGGAAGGGCCTGCACATGCTCTCGGCTACAACTTTGTGTGGGATGATGGAAATAATGGTGCCGCTAGTTTTCAAAGATTCAGTTTGTTTTGTGCCAAATATGATTCCGCTGACTTGTTTTTCCCTCTGCTTTTCTAGTTGGAGATCATGACGACGATGCCGACGACCATGGCGCCCAGCAAGGAGATGCCGACGACCATGGCACCCAGCAAGGAGATGCCGACGACCATGGCGCCCAGCATGGTGATGCCAGTGACCATGGTGCCCAGCAAGTCGATGCCGCGAGCAATGCTTTGGCCGGCGAAGCAGCTGCGTCCTTTGCCCACGAGGTGGCCGAACCCTTTGCCGGCGAGGTGGCCGAACCCTTTTCCAGCGAGGTGGCCGGCGAGGTTTCCGCGTCCATGGCCGGTGCTTCTCTTTCGTGGCTGAGTACGCAAGCGGGAGGGATAAAATAGGAAGTGCAGTTGGGAAGGGAGAGCAACTTGCATGCATGCATGCATGCAGCTGATACTGGAAGCGAGGCGTCGCAATTACTACGCGCGAGAATACAGGACGTGAGCGCTGGCTCCCGATGCACCCAACGGCTTAGGCGCCGGTGAATTCACAAACCTTTTCCCAAGCCAATACGCCTCTGAATGAAGGACGGAGGGAGTATCATATAATATAATACCCATCTTTCTTTTCTTTTTTGGAAATCTTAGTACAAACTGAGATACTTATACACGTGCGCGATCTTAGTACATGAAATGAAATTGAAGAATGTACAGTTTTTTATTTATTCGAAATGTACACTAATATAAGGACCTACATCTCCCAATATATACATTTTCCACTTTGGAGAGTATATATGTCTCTCTAGAGGACGTGAGCCAGAACGTGTTACATTCTTTTTCTTTTTGAAACATGAAATAATTTGTACACATGTACTAACTAAAATGATTTATAGACAAACTTTAAAAAGGAGAATCAAAATGTGCGCTCCTTTTGGCTACAAATATATCAGCAAGGGTAAGAATCCCTCAGGTATGTTTGGAGCCTTGGAGGCATGGCGAGTCCTTCCAAATTCCAAACCCTAGCGTGTGTCTTTAGCATCTCCTTTGCCCTGAGACCGGCCCTCTCGCCGGCATTGACCTGCAGCACCATCAGCAGTTTTGCCACCACACCGACGGCGAGCATCTCCTGCAGCACCGAGGGCGTCGCCGAGTGCTTGGCCACGGCGTGGAGCGCGCGCACGGCGCTCTCGGTGGCGACTACGGACACCCGCATGACCTTCTTGGACACGACGGCCAGCCCCGCCGGGTGCGCGACCAGCTCCGACCGTCCCTCCGCGCAGCCGCAGAGGTGATCCATGGCCACGACGGCTAGCTCGGAGACGCGGCGGCCGCCCTCGTCGAGGAGCAGCTCGACCAGCGCGGCCACGGCGCCGGCCTCGACGGCCTTCACGCGGTTCCGGCCCCACGGGCAGAGGCGGCACAGCACGTGCAGCGCCGCCCGGACAGCCTTGGAGGACACCCGGTCCGAGACCACGCGCACCACCTCCTGCACCAGGCCGGCGCTCACCGTCATGAGCCGCGCCGGCGTCAAGACCGGCGTCATCGCCTTGAGGAGAAGGATGCCGTAGGCGCGCGACCGGTAGCTCGGGCGGCGCAGGACGGACGCCAGCGCGTCGAGGAAGTCTCCGTCCCGTTCCATGATCTGGGCAAGGCTCCGCTCAGAGGGCTTGAGCGAGTAGAGGACGCCGAGCGCGTCCTCGGCCGGCGAGCTCGTGGAGGTCGGAGAATCCAGCACGAAGTCGGCGTCGGCGGCGTCTTGCTGGCCGCTGGCACGCTTGGATGAAGAGTCGTTAGACGTGGAGGAGTGCTTGGCGACGAGCGAGGCGAGGAAGTCGACGGCGCCCGGCGTGGCCTCGACGCAGCGCCTGTTGCGCTCGCTCTCGGCGACGACGGCCTTGATCTCCCTGAGCGCGGCGGCCGCCTGGCGGTCCCCGCCGTGTCGGCCCTCGTCGAGGAGCGCGGCGACGCGGCACGAGTCGAGCGGCGGGCGCGGCGTGGGGAAGCGCTCGACCTGGTGCGCGGCGCACCAGGCCTGGATGAGGCGGCGCAGCGTGTGGTTGGGCGTGGCGTCCATCTCGGCGGGCGCCAGCGCGCGGCGCGTGACGGGGCAGGTGGCGTGGCCGTCGGTGAAGAGCCAGCGGTCGATGCTGGCACGGTCGTAGGTGATGCCGGTGGCGAGCGTGACCGGGTCGCGCATGACCTCCAGCGAGATCGGGCAGAGGAAATAGTGGGGGACCTCCGCCGCCGCCGAAGACGACGAGACCTCCATGCTGCTGGCTGTGGTCACTCTTGTAGTCTTTGTGTGATGCGCGCTGCTGCTTGTGCGTGTGATCGCCTGATCGGAGGAGCGATCAGTTGAGAGCTTGCTTTGCGACGGAGGAGATCGAGGCAGAAGAGGAAGAGATGATGTTGTTTGTTGGGTCGGAGTTGAACGAATGTGGACGGTGAAGAGCGATGGAAGGCGCGTTTTATAGGTGAGGCGAAGGGAAGGGGAAGCGAAGAAATCAACCCGCGGCGATGCGTGTGGTCACAGTGTTTGATTGTAATTGTAACGGGTTGGTGCGGTGGCGTGCGTTAAAACAGGCAATTACTGTCATTTAATTAATCTGCAAAAATCCTTAACCTCAGCTCGCATAAGGGCAACGGACAAACAATTGATGTCTACAAATTTTTGGAATTTACAACATACACGGCTAAACAGTTCATACAACCCACGGACAGCTGCTGTCTATTTGGCTATCTACAAATCGTTTAAATGCTTGCATGTAGCCGTCATCAATCATGAATATTATTTCTATGTACCATTGTGTTGCTAATTGATACAAAACAAATCCTTCAAAGTAAATCATATATATTATATATATAATGTAATATAATATATTTCATAACTCAAATATAACATATGATCTTCTTCCCCATAAATCAAATATGATTTAAACATTTATGTCTAATTTTATTTGTTTCCATAGCGTTTCCATATATGCTCGATAAGATCATCCCTAAGTTGTCTATGTGTTGGCCGTGCTTGGATAGCGGAATTCCTTCTAAGCACCTCCGCGAAGCATGGATTGGGGTTATCACTTGTATGCACTTCAGGCGGGAGCACTATTGTCGCACTTGCATTCTCATTCAAATCTAAGGAAACTCTAACCAATTCCTTCTCATCCTCCACTATCATATTGTGAAGGATAACACAAGCTTGCATTATGTTGATAACGCCCCCCCTGCTTCCATAACCTTGATGGTCGACGAACAATATCAAAGCGGGACTGCAATACGCCAAATGCGCATTCGACATATTTCCTCGCTCCTTGCATCAATGCAAACAATTTGCATTCATTCATTTGAGGGGCTGATATTGTCTTCACGAAGACCGCCCATTCTGGATATATTTATCGGCGAGATAGTAGCCCATATCATATTGTGTTCCATTTACGGTGTATTGTACCCTTGGAGCTTCCCCTTTTAGGACATTGATGAACAGTGGTGACTTGTTTAGGACATTGATGTCGTTCGAAGATCCGGCGGTACAAAAAAAAACATGCCATATACGAAGATTATGAGATGCCACTGCTTGAAGGATCATAGTAGGAACACCTTTGTCACCACGTGTGAACATGCTTGCCCAATCTTTCGGACAATTCTTCCATGCCCAATGCATACAATCGATGCTTCCCAACATTCCTGGAAAACCACGAGTCTCATTTTCTTGTAAAATTTTTTCTAGTTCATCGCTTGTAGGAGGGCGCATGTACTCTTGACCAAAACATTCAATCACCCCTATGGCAAATTTTCCTAGAATCTCCAAACAAGTGATTGCCGCAATTTTTAGTACCTCATCAAGTTGGTCGGCCGGCGAGCCATATGCTAGCATCCAGATTGCCGCGGTACACTTCTGAAGGGGTGAATGTCCATCCCTACCAGTTGCATCAACTCTTTGGGTAAAATAAGGATCCCAATTGCTAAGAGTTTGCACGATGCGCAGGAATAACGGTTTATTCATCCGAAACCTTCTACGGAACATCTCATCGGTGTAGATAGGATTTGTAGAAAAGTAATTAGCGACGAGATCATCATGACCTGCTTCTCGATTCCTTGGTATGTACCTCCTTGGTCCACTTTGTCGTCGTCGGTGAGTCACAGACGATGTGCGTCCTTCGATGTCAGCCTTCAATCCATCTCCAATCTTCCTCACAAATTCTTCTACAATTTCATCCTCCGCTAGGAAATCTTCCATGGTGAACACCTCTGTAGGATCAAAGTCATCGGCTTCTGGTAGATTATCTTCATCATCGTTTGGTGGATGTGGTTCCATAATACTGGTAAAAACAACTACAGATCCTATGCCGATTGAACGGAGCCAAGCCACCTTTATGTAGTCGGTGGACAGTTTCACAAGGAAACATGCAGACAGTGGGCTGTTTCACATAGGATACATGCAGATAGGTAACTGAAAAATCAAGTGACATGCAAGTAACTGAAAAAACGTCACATGCAGGTAACTGAAAAATCAGACGTTTGGCACATTCACACAGGGAGACCTGCAAACATCACACAGCAGGTTCCATACAGCTAAGACCGAAACACTAATACTGAAAATTATCAACTATGGTCCTCTACGTGTACCCTCCTCTACTGTAGCTTGTACTAGGAAGAAATGGCAAGTACCAAGCTTGACACACTAGCAATAAACCATGCATAGTCAGCTCAGGTCCTGAGCTTACTACATTTGATACGGCCTGAATGCTGATCACCATTAGCCTTCCAGTTCCAGCTGCCACTCTTGCTATAATTAATTAATTGTGCAGGGTACTTAGCTTCAAAACCTAGAATTCCAGATGCTACTGTGCAACTGAAGATTGCTGATAGTATATTCTTTCTTACCGGTAAAGTATATTTGCTTAATGCCATCAGACAACTAAGACTGAAAATTATTATGCCATCGGACAACTAAGACTGAAACACTAAGATTGAAAATTATCATGCCATCAGTAGAATTTCCAGCACATCTCACTATGGCTTTCTCCTTTTCCCTGCTAGTAGAAATGAACAGATATATCAAGGGTGGGTGCAGGCAACTGACAAGTAACATACATGTAACTGAAACAACATGTGTGCATACCTGACTAGATCATTTCAGGAAATAAAGTCTTCCGAAAACACTTTGTAGTAGCAACACGCTCATCTTTTTCTTCATTGGACATTAAACTTGTATCTTGAGAGATGAGAGTGTTGTAAGCATGCATCATCTTTGATTCCTTCTCAAGCCTTTTTGCCTCGGTGGTCTCTTTAGCTGTAAGATGTGCCAGTCTTGTGGTTTCAATTGGTCGCTCAGGCATTTCTTCAATATCATCATCTTCCTCCACTTCTCCTTCAATGTGATATGACTTCCTTTTACGCGCATTCCTTAGGTCTTCGTTGTATGTTTTCCACTTTGGTACCTCTCGGCATATTTTCCAAACATTCTTTAGCACAAAGGGACCTAGCTTTGCCTTTTTGTTGTCTACCAAATAGAACTTGTCTGCTGCATCAATCCACATATGATCAGAATACCCACTTGTGAATAGTCTGTGAGCCTTCAGATATGCACATTCATATAGATCAGTCCACCGATTAATCTTGTGCCATCGATCCTTGGCTTGCTTTGAATTTCTTTTCCTATGTGACGGGATAGTCATGTTGTATGACTTAACAACATCACCCCAACAGTGCTCGTTATTCCTATCAGCTCCGACGGATGAATCTGTTGAATTTTTCAACCAAGCACTCATCAATTTCTCGTCTTCTTCTGGTGTCCACATGATTCGCTTCTCAGTCCTGACATACTCCGTATCGCTATCAACATCAATAGCTTGCTGGTCAGATAAAACTTCCACTTCTTGAGACGAACTTCCACAGTTGTTAGGCTGTAGTGCATCCATTGAGGCAAAACTGATGCCAACATCAACAGGCCTTGGTGCCTTGAAAGGTGCATAATGAGATGGAACACCAACAAAATATGAATTCTGTGATAAATGGGGTTGGTTGTTGAATAAACCCATAAATCCACCAGGAGGATATGTGCTGTTGTCCCTGCAAGTATATATTTCTTATCAAATTTCTGCTGGATATGTATTTATCAAACTAACAGACAAGTAAAACAAGTAAAAAATTCAATAACTAGAAAAAAATCAGTAGCTAGAAAACATTATGTTATCAATTCTAGTGAACTGACAACATTCGGTAGCTAGAAAAAAAATCAATGATCAATTCTAGTGAACTGGCAACATTCAATAGCTACAAAAAAGAAAACAGTGATTAATTCTAGTGAACTAACAACATTAGTAACTAGAAAAAAATTAGTAGCTACAAAACATTCAGCAGCTAGAAAAAAAATCAGTGATCAATTCTATTGAACTGATAACATCCAGTAGCTATAAAAAATTTCAATGATCAGATAACTGTTCAGTTATTAGTAACTGAAAGCATTCAATAGTTAGAATTGCAGGTTCCATGTATTGGCATGTTTAACTGAAAAAGAACTAACTGAACTACCACTATTTCTCTGCTGTCCAGAAATCACCAAGGCAACATAGCATACAGGTAACTAAAATAGAATCGCAGAACGTAGCATGATAGATTTTCCTATGATGGCAAAACGTAGCAGTATAGATTTCCCTAGATGAGCAGAAATGCAGAATACGAATTCAATCAAATCGAGGCTATAGCCTACAGCTAAACTCGAGAATTGAAGCAAATCAAGGATTACCATGCTGGATCTCAATTTGATTGATGCCCGAACGGAGGAGAACTTGGACTGGTGGAGGCACATCTGCCATGTGAAGAGGCAAGTGCGCCAAATCCGACTGGGTAGCCTCGTCTGCCATGGATTGGTGAAGAATCCAAGCCATCTGTCAGGGATTGAGGATGAATCGTACCAGCAGAGGAGTTGGGTGTTGGGGACGAGCTGCTTCCGTGACCGAGGAAGGGCGCTGCCACACCGTTGAAACCGGCGAGGTTGGGTGCTGGGGATGAGCCGCTTCCGCGAGGAAGTCTACTCGCCCCTGCCGCCGCCACCGTTGCCGCTGGTGGCGCTGCCTTCGCCTTGTTCTTGGAAACTGACGTCGCCTTTCTCTTCAAATCCCGGCTAGACATCGCGAGACGAAATCCGGCGAAGGCGCAAGGGCATCTGAGACTGATTTGGGCAAGAATGGCGATGAAAAATGGCGCGGCTGAGGCATATATGTGCGGATTTTTGGCGCGAATATTTCACTTCGCGCGCGCGAAGCT